CCCAGCATCACAGGTACTGAAGAACAAGAGGAAATGAAACAAGGGAACAGCTAGTGTTGAGAAGTACTTCAGATCTGGACTACGCCAACAGCTAAAGTTGTCATTTTAATTCCTGAATAACAGAGCCTTGTTTACATGTCCACCTCCTAGCTTTGTAATCCCTCCCCCACTCAGTTCCAGATGATAAGGCATAAGTTGAACTTGGAACTCTCAAAATAATTCCAGGGAAAAAAAATAAGATGACAAACCCCAAAACTTTAAAAGACCGGTGACGTTGCCTTCAGATTTCACAAATAAAAAGTTTCTTTAATCGGAAAAAACCCCAAGATTAATAGATTTTCTGCCACAAGATCAGGTGGAAAGGGATTGGTGATCAATCTGTCTCAGTGTCTTCAAAAGTTCTACTTCACTGAGAACCAGTCCAGATTTACAATATGCCAAATGCACTGGTACAGAACACTTAACATGCATGAAATAAGGGCTAAAATATTTATTTTATTTTAAGCCTTTAATTTGTCCTTAGCTTTTATTTTCAGAAGGCAGTGACAGTGAGAGTTGGTCTGTGCAGAAATTCCATGCAGTGTGACAGATGGCACTGAAGTCAATACCGAGATTCCCTTTACAGTTATTACTATGTTCAGTACCCCTCGGGGTCCTATTTTAGGAGTCTGGACTGCAACAGAAAGGTGCCATATGGAGACACACTATCGTAGTATTTTCACGGTATTAAAAGGGAGTGTAGTACACTTAGCATCTCTAACCTGGAATGAGACATGTAGTCCCACAACAAATAGCTCTTCAGCAAATTCACTGTGACTTTCTTGTTTATTTGGGCCAAAATCCCCAGGAAAGATCACTATTTCTGAAACGTTTGCCCCAAGTTTGTCAAAGTCTCACCACAGGCTTTCAGTACTTTGTGGTAAGAGAACTTGCTTTGCAAACCTAAACCTAAAGCTGCATAGTATTAGCAGATGATCTTTAAGGTCCCTTCCAACCCGAACCATTCTATGATTCTATGAGTACAAACACACACACAAGAAATAAAAAATTCACCATAAAACAGGCTGCATTTCAGAAATCAGGATATTACTTATAATATTTAATCAAAAAAGGTTTTGATTGAAATACATTTGCAGTCAACTTCTAGCATTTAGTTCAACTGACTATGATTTTTTGGTCCTTTAGGAGTAAAGGTACTTTCCTTCCAAAGTAAGATATTAGATTCAAGAGTACCCAGAATAACTCTTAATAAAAGCAGAAGTCTTTTTAGTCTGAGTTCTCAGACGTTTGGTCCTATAAATCCTTACATCTTAAATACTGCACTTCTAATGCCGCAACAACCAATTAAGGGAGTAATTTTACTCAGTCTTTCGTTGAAGATTATTTTTTTCTGGTTGAAAGAAGTGTTTTTCAAGAGCGTTGACCAATTCATCTAGTTCCTTCTTCAGCTGCTCGACATCACTGAAGAACAAAATCCACACAAATAGAGAAATTAGTGTCACAGTGGTGAAGCTAAAAAGCACATTTTCAGCCTGAGGAATTTTTAAACCTGCTGCATTATTTTAGACAAACATTCTCTATTAATGCTAAAAGTATATACACTTGATTTCTTATGGAATTTCTGATGTTCACTTCCAACTCATGTGGGTGAAGGCATCTAAGATTATGTAATCTAAAACAGAACAGCCAGTTTGAGTTCAGAAGATCTATTACTAAATGTATGTGATTAGAAATGTAACTTTTACACTTGTAATAGTAATTTCAGATGAATTTTCATCTGTGAGAAAGCATTATTTTAATTACATATGTTAATAATTGCTTATCTTTAAGACTATATGATTTCCAAGGCTGTCAAGAACATACCCAACTAAACATAAAGGTTTAGAATATATTAGAACCCTTTATATATAGTTATATAAGTTTAAAGCAATTGTATGTAAGAAGAGAGTGAATATATCTCCTTTCATTTAAGGCAGAATGTTTTTCTTTATATCATTTTTACTGAACGAGAAACCAAGTTCAAAGGAATTTCAGTGACAACAAGAACATGTCAACAGATGTAGCAGAACTGAAGCTTTATGCAAATACATTTACTAAAACAATGACTGCAGTAATATTACTTGATCATGGAGAGACCCTTCCATGCCAGAAAGCCACGCAGCCCCTGTTACACAGCATTTACTGCTCTAGGTGACAATACCTGTTTCCAGGAGGTGCACAAAGTTCGGAATAGTATTTGATCTTCGGTTCCGTCCCACTGGTTCTCATTGTGGCCACTCCTCCATTAGCAAAAGTGAACGTTATCATCTGGCTGCTTTTACTAATGGGAAGGATCTACAAGTTGTAAGAACAATTTTTTTAGAAGCTTGGAAAGTGACTGTAGATAATGAATGCAAGACAGAACCCATGACTTACATAGTCATAGGTCATATAGTCATACAATTTTACTAAAGGATCAGCTAAAACTAAACTTTGTTTTCTTCATCACTGTGGTCTTAAGACCACAACAGGCAAATGACAGCCTTACCCTCAACCTAGGATCTGGCAGCAGTACGTTACTGCTAGGTAGCTCGTTTCAAGTCTAGTCAGTATTTTTACTGCAAACAGAAATTGCTCTGTGATGGCATTTCCAAGGAGGAAAAGACACGGACTGCAGAAAATTAAAAGAACCCAAAGCCACATCTTAGCAGACAGTTTCCCTTACACGTAGAAGAAAATAATGCAACCTGGCTGTAGCAAGACAGTGAGATTCTCCTGCCTCCCGTTACAGAGCGTCCTCTTGGAGAGAAAAGACACCACAAAAGCAAACAAAAACCCCAACCCTCACCCGCTCCCCCCAGCCATCAAGGCAAAATCCTCATCCCCAGTCTAACTTACTTTAAGACTCGGCATGTAACCATGTTTGGAGTGTTCCTACAAAGATTTTTATGTATATACAGACTGATAAGATTTATATATAATTTTAAAAGCCTACTTACAGCCTTTTGATCTGGCTGGCTGCTGTCATACCCAGTAGTTAGATCCCTTATTCCAGAAACTTTAAATCTACCGCAAGATTTTGGGTATGTGTTTTTCCCATCAAAATTTCTAAGGTTGTCAAAAAGCTGTTGAATGACTTTAGGATCATGGCAAATGAAATACGAAGCTTTGGTAATATGGAAGCCATATCTGTAAAGACATAATATCAATGAATGGAACGAGCATTATTGTTCTTAGAGTTGTACACCATACACATTATAGAACCTTCTATAAAGCAGTCACCTATACTCATGGTTTCCCAGCTGCAGCATCAATTCACCTCCTTACAATTCTAAAAAAGGTCTCAACAGCCTAATTGTCCTTTTTTATATACTTTAAAGAAGCTTCTGTGCAGACACCTTTTCCTTTTCGTGATTAAAAATGAGAATGTTTACTGCTAAACCAGAAGAGAGATGTTCTTAGTTCCCTGAAGAGATCTAACCACTGTAGGAAGAGAACAGACTAAACCCACGTAGCTGCTTTGACTGGATTCCAGCTGACCTTTTCTGAGTAAAACAAATTCCAGCCTGTTTTTTCCAATTACACTTCAGGAGCTGCTCTCCCTTTAAAGGGTTTCTGCAAAACCAAACTGTTCTGAACGTTGTCCCTTTCACCTAACCTCTTCGCTGCCAGGTAATAGTACACAAACTGCATCAAGAGACAAACCACCTGCTAACGCTGACTTTTCAAAACAGCGTGTTGGTGAAAAGCACACAAGCCTGGACTGGTTGTTTAAGTCAGCTCTTACTAAAGATCAATACTTGATGAGTATTCAGGAAAAATCTGAAAGGCAGAATCTCATTAGTACTAGGATGTTCATACTAGAAACCAAAAAGGTGCCTAAAGTAGGATCGTGTTTATACCAAAATGGACATCTAGAAGGCCAATAGTTGTTAAATCAGTTTTGAGAATCCAGCATGGGAACTAACAAAACCTACCCTATAACTTAAAGGAGTCTGCTAGGACTGTGTCCTTTTCCCAGTCTGCATTCACTTTTTTGAAATTAGCTCCCCGCTTCTATACCTCCAAAATACAGAGCAGAGTTTCTTCTGTTTCAACAGCAACTCACAAGACAAATCTGACGAAGTACTCAAGAGTAGAAAACTGTTAACTCCATACTGGCCACAAACAACTAAGAAACCCACACGCAAGATGGCACGCCCAAAACAAGTACCCCCCTCCTGTTCTAGTTACCAAGCTTCAGTTTCATGAGGCAGATTTGTACCCTTCCTGTACCCGTAGCCTTCCCACAACAAGTGGCTATGCGCAGTGACATCTTACTCTGAGGGGCATCTAGAGAGTGCTTTTATGCTAAGTAAGCTCTGACTCGGAGAGTCGTCTTCCGTGGCTGCCTACACAGCGCCCAGGTAAGTTCCACTCAGATAAACATTCTGAGGGCAACCTGAAGCAGGTGTTTACTGAACGAGTATCAAAAAAGAAAAAAGCACAAGCCAGAGAAGGACAATTCTTTGAATATACGCTTCCAGCTACTAGTAATTCAGGGAATTCTCATGCCAGATACTTCATTTGGAGCTATAGGCACAAATTCCTCTTGCATACATTCATAACAATGTTTCTCAAACCCACCTAAACTTCCGCCACCTACAAGAGCTGATAAACCCCACAATTTAAGCGGTGTTTTAGCAAGTCTTTGCCACTTGCTTCCTTCTCAAGCAGTGGGTGAAACAAGCATGGCTAGTGCTGCACGCAAATGGGAGCGCTGAGGACTGGGAAAAGAAGCAGCACCAAGGTGGAGCATTCCACAGGTTTCCGTGCAGTTTCCACCACTCCTTTGTTAGAGTCTGAGACATGAGTATCAGCCAGTCTTGCTGCTCCCTCCATTGAAACAAACAAGCCAATCCCCACCCCTTCCCCAAAAAATACCCCAACACTCCCGGCCCCATGAAATCCAACCACCATCTTTGCTAGTGATTTCTGTAGGGCTTTGCATGCACTAAACAAGAATGAAAGAGGAGTGCCTCACATTAAAAGCTCTCAGAGGGATACTCAGCTCTGCATAGCAACAGTTACAGCTGGTCACAGCACTTCTGCATCAGCAGCACAAGTCACAGTATTCAGGAGCAGAGAGAGGAAGAACAACTAACAGCCAAACATACACCATCCATCAAAAAAACACCAGAATAATATAATTAAAAGCCTAACTTTAGAGCCAACTAGAATTAATTTAATCACAAGTAGCCCTGCAAGCAGGATAAAAGCAAGCTGGCTTCTAAGAGCAGCATAAATATGCCAGAGCTACTTAGACCCATTCTGCCGTCAACGCTTTTGTATGTCTGGCACGTTTCAGCAGCAAGAGGCACTATGATCTCTACAACACTGCCATGCTGCTGGCCAAAAACCAGGCCAGTCTTCTGGAAAAGGACCCAAGAGCAGAACTTCCCCAAAGAGAAAAAAATAAACAAACAAAACCCCCCAAAACCAAAATAAAACAAACACCCAAAACAAACAAAAAAATAACACCAACCACAAAACCCAAGCAAACAAAAAACAACAACAAAAAAAACCCAAACCAAACACACAACACAAACAAACACACCCCCCAAACCCACACCACTTTCAGGCAAGCAAACAAAAACACCTCAAAAATCTCTTTAACTAACAGGGAATTAGTAAGATAACATTATTATTTTTTAAATACCTTAAACAACACAAAGTCACAAATACATTCATGCCCATAAGGCAGCAGTGTTTTCCAGAACATTACTATTAACACAGAATTGTGTACAATACTGTGTACAATAACCCCGTATTTATTTCTTCATATACTATAGGTTGCTAGTGTCCCTATTAACCCTGGTGTATGGAATGGAGAAAATCTGAAAATCAAACAATGATAATCAAACTTACTCATCATAGACAGCTTTCAGCTGCTGAGACAAAGACAAATTCCTAGTTGCCAAAAAGCTAGCCATCTCTGCAGTTATAACGGCGGCGCTGACACCATCTTTGTCCAGAACAGCAGGGCAGCACATATACCCTAAACAAAGAAAATTATGTATGTTTGATATGTTTTTATGAGGAAATAAGATAGAATGGGGGGGACAAATGGACGGACACAGGACACGGAGTTAACATCTCAAAGGAGAACTGCATATTACCATAGTGCAGACATTTTAGAGAAAAAAATAACCTTCTCAGTGTTAATTTTGATAGGCAAGGTATTTAATGGAATTTCAAGACAAAGACAGATAGGTATCGTATCACTGCCAGATGTTCCCGAATACTTTTGGGCCTCTGATGAATGAGAAATGCCACGGTGCAGGAACAATGCAAGTATAGCACCGTGTCTCAAACGTGATTACCTTTACATGGTAGCATGTGGTAACATTGATAATTATCCATGGAATTAGTCGCATTTTCTCTGGTTATCAGGCACAGAGATACTCAAGAAATAACATTATAGCTTTACAGTTTCCTTCTCATGAATTCATAGCTTTTATTCATGGCTTTCCAGTTTACTAGTATAATTTGGGGGAGTTTTTACTGTATTTTATTCACATTTAAACTTAGCTTAAAACTTTCAGCTAAATATATTAAAATTGTTTTTTTTAAATAGCTTGTGCAGGTTTCAGTTGGGATAGAGGTTATTTTCCTCAGAGTAGCTAGTATGAGGCGAGGGGACACAGTCTGGACAGCTGACCCAAACTGACCAAAGGGGTATTTCATGCCATCAAGTGTCACGCTCAGTATATAAGGTGGGGAAGTTCACCAGGAGGAAAAAATCGCTGCTGAGGGATGGGCTGAGTGTCAGTCAGCCAGCGGTGAGCAGCTGTATCATTTCCTTTTCCCTCCCTTTTTCTTTTTTTTTTTTAATTATGTATTATTACTATTAGTAGCAGTATGTCACTATGTATTATTAGTAGCCTAATTTTATTTCACCTACTTTCAATTATTAAACTGTTCTTATCTCAACCCACAAGTTCTCTTATCTTTTTCCTCTGTTTTTCTTCCTGATCCCACTGGGAGGTGAGGTGAGTGAGCAGCTGTGTGGTGCTTAGTTGCTGACTGGGGCTAAACCACGACAGTCTACATAGCCATGCTACTGAATGGTTTGGGTTGGAGGGGACCTTAAAGCCCATCGAGTTCCAACCCCCTGCCATGGGCAGGGACACCTTCCACTAGACCAGGTTGCTCCAAGCCTCATCCAGCCTGGCCTTGAACACTTCCAGGGATGGGGCATCCACAGCTTCTCTGGGCAACCTGTGCCAGTGCCTCACCACCCTCTCCAGGAAGAACTTCTTCCTGATATCCAATCTAAACCTCCCCACTTTCAATTTAAACCTATTTCAAACACTGTTTTACAGAATACCAAAACATAATATTCTGTTTATTACCTATAGCCTCCTCAAATGCAAAAAGAACAGCTTTTCCCTGGTCCATGAGCTGTTTGGCACGGTTGCCCATCCACTTGAAACCGGTCAGTGTTTCCTACAGCAGTGAGAAGAAGAAAAAAAGGCATTAAAAATAAAAGCAATGTTTTACAAAGATATGATGCTGTGTACGAAAGCAAATAAAAGAACATGGAATAGCACGTAACGTTGCTCACCTCAAAGTGGAAACCTTCCTTTAGTGCAATTGCTCTCAGGATTTTGGAAGAAACAGTACTGGATAACATGTAGACATCTTTAATGGCACGAGTATCCCTATTGTGATTTTTCCAGCAAGTGAAGATCCACCAGCCTAAAAGAGCTCCCAGCTCATTTCCTGAAAACACTTTCCATTCACCACTGGAGGAAAGGGGGAGGGAAAAGAAAAAACACTAAAACACCAAACTAGAAAGTGTATAATTTGAAAAGATAATACTGAAGGGGGGGAAGAAAAAAAAAAAAACCTATTGGTTCTTCCTTACGTTAATACTAGCAAAGAAACCCACTGCATCTGAATTCCAAGTAACAGAAGATACCATGTGTTCATTATGAATGAACAAAAAAATTCCCCCCCAAAAATTCTGAAGTGGTTACCTTCCTCCTCCACCAGATGTACCAGCTTTTGAGTTTACCCAAAGATGAAAACAGTGGTATTTCCAGTATATTTTAAGTAGAATAAAAATATTCAGCAGAAAAATTATAAATATCAATGATTAAGACAAGCACAGACACTAAAATACATTTCTCAACTGATCAGTACTTTTGGTTGAGTCAGTGACAACTAGTTTTTACTTAATCACAAAGATATCAAAAGGTCATTGAGGAAAACTGGAAAAAATCTCAGACAGGTAGAACGATTAACAAGGAAAAAGAGAGACATCAAAATTGCCCCAAAATTGCCAGTCACAAAAGGGGACAAAGACACTGTCAAACTGACAAAAATCCAGACCTACAGAAACAGTACCTGTTGCGAAAGAAGCAGACTCAGTCTCCTGCATTTACTGATGCCAAGAGGCATAAAGCAAGGCACAGCGACAACTTAGCGCGAGAGCACTGAGAGAGCGCGCTCTAGCAGGAGTTTCTGTCAAAGAAGAAGTACAGATACTGTAGAAGCCTATATTAATATTTGATTAGTGTATGAACAGCTACAGCAGAAATCTGAGAAGTGGACACAGGAGCACGGGTTAGGAGACAACTAAGACCAGCTGAAGAGGCAGCGAAGAGGCGGCAGAGAGAGAACCATACTCTCAATGGCAACAAATACAATAAACTGAACACCCCCCCCCCCCCAAACCCTTCACACAACAAATTAATATAACACAAGCTCTAAGTATTTAGAAAACCAACCAACCAAAAAAACCATCAATGATTCCATGCTCTTGTTTTAACCCATCATAACTTGAAAAATTGAATCCTTGTATGCTGTTTTGTCAGCAGTGAACTGCCAACCGAGGCTGGCACATGCCAGACAAATTAAAACATTCCAGCTAACACTGTGAAATGTACAGTAGAGTGACAATTAGCCCATTAGTCTAAAGGCAGAGAAGCCTGCTCAGTTAGTGCTGTGAGGATAAGGACTTAAAAAAAAAAGCCCCAAAACCCCAAAGAAAACACCGTCACCTCTGAAGCTGCTACAGGACCGAAAGAGGTTATTTGTGCTGTCTTCTTTTACTGTGTTTTTGAAATCTGCATAACCAAAGCAGGTTCAAATATCCACACTCACTGAGGACATTGAGCAGGAGCTCATCTCATCCCCCGGGCACCAAGGACTGTTGCAATGATTTTATGTCCCTCTTCTGGCTCTCACACACAAGGGAGTTCATTCACACTAGTTCTGTTCCTCTCTGAGCTGAAAACCTTGTAGTTTAATAAAAGATATATGGTTTCTAACTGCTCAGATCAGTTTCTGCTTTATCAAGGTAGATAAAAGAGAAACACCACTATTTATAGGTATGATACCAAGGGCAGTACTTGGTATCTTATTTTCATTCACCAAATATAACCACAATACAGAAATGCAAACAACTGTGGAAGTACCGGCTACCAAGGGACATGAAATAAGGGGATGGCAATATTGGGTCAGAACTACAGGTTACACATTCCATACATGTAATATATATATATACATATATATGTGTGTATGTATGTATATGAGAAGCCCCTGTTCGAGCAAGTTTACCTTTTCTGATCCTGTTCTTTGACAGGACATACATAAATAATGCATGTACAGCTGGTCCTTAAAGGACAGAGTACAAATAACTACACTGACAAGTACTAAACACTGACAAAGCTTAAGGTGAAATGCAGGTACATAACATTATGCAAAGAAGCAGGGAACTGAGTAAGAGAGGCACAAATCATTTAATGGTTAGTAAAATGCCTGGTGTAAAGTATTTGAGAAAGAAGGAACTCGTAGTAAAGAATAGGGATGTTTCCCGTGCCTGAGATTATCAGGGAACTATAAAGGTTCTCCTGAATATTCAAGTTATTCAAGTTATTTAATAAACACAAGATGAAAGAAAGTTCATCCAGCTTCTGTGAGAAGTTTCTAATGGAAAACCTGCCTTTAAAAAGGTGTAGCACAAATCACAGCTATTCACCTGTTTCTGTGCATGCCTCAAGTACAGCAAGTGTCAAGTATTTATTCAAGCTTCTGTACAGCATATAATATTAATCATGATTTCATTTACTGCCCCCACTGTGGTCTGCTTCATACAGTCCTCTCACATTTCTACATGTTTTCAGTCCAAAACCAACTGCTGTGACTATTCTATGTTCCTCTACATCACAGGTGGCAAGAATTTCCCAAAGACGCCTGGTCTTTAAGTAAAAAAAAGTAAATGGTTTGCACTTCTTTATTACCATACCTCTCTTGTTTCTCTGCCACTGCAAGTCGATCAGCATCAGGATCATTTGCCAAAATAATTTTTGCTCCATCTTTTTCAGCCAAAGCAAAAGACAACGTCTGGAAAAGTGGTAAGCAAGGCCAGACGAGTGTTAATATTCCCACATAGTATTTTCACTTTCTTTACAGGTTTAAAATAATTTTCCCAATTTATTTAATCTCAAACACCCAAAATCATGATGTGTCTCTACAAAAAAAAAACCAAACTTCAAGCCTGGCAGCAGTAGAGCACAGTCAAGATATTAACTTGCACCTTTACTTCTGCAGCCTGAGTCAAACGCTACTGAGATACAGCAGGAGCCTTCAGTAACCAAACATAGCAGAAATTCTAACCGCCTGTCAGGACTTCCCACGCACCCTCCCAGTGTCATTTCAGAACAATTTAGTCCTTAAGATTTCAGGTGTAAATTGTAGAAAGTTTCCAAAACCAACCGTGAAGATTTTTTTATTATTTTGGTCTTTTAAAGAAACTGTATCACTTAGTTCTGTGTGCAGAGGCTGCCCGTTGTCAGAGAGCAGAACAATGTACAGTTTAGAGTTACAGCTAATTACTGCCAGACTGGTTCACAGACAGTTCTAAGTGTCAGCGTAGGGATACCAGCTAACACTTCACTACATGCAAGGCTGTGACAACAAACAAATTAGACCTTCAACCAGTATTTACAGCCAAGACAGCTGGCAGAAAAAAACCCACTATTTGAAAGACACCGCAGCTATTAAAAAAATACCTATTTACCAGGACACCTTTGCCTTCTTCAGGGTTTGGATACTTCACTGTAGGAAATTCTGGGTCAGGATCCTTCTGCTCCGGAACAGCAAAAGGAGGGCTAAGGTCAAATGCCCTGAAGGCCAACTGCACAAATTTGTGACCTACACCATGCACAGAAGTATGAACGAATTTCAGGTTTGTTTCCTTGTTTATATTCCTGAAACCAAACAGATCAACAATACATTTGAATGCGGCAGAACATTCCACACAAAATTTCACTACGTTTAGAAACAGATATGCCTCAGTATTCTTTAATTTATAATTTTAACAGTACTGTAGGTCAGATTTCAAAGGTAATGGCTTAAAAATTGGTTTAGCTTGATTTTTCAGCTCTGTGAGCCCCTCCTGATAGCTAATGTTCTGGTATGTGCGCATCACTGGAATAAGACAGTATGCTCCACACACCCAAAAGGAGGTGAGTGGAAAACAAATATAACTAATAAGCCTCTTCATCCCCAACTCTGGTATCCAAAACCAGCTGCAAGGACTGCAAACACAGTGTACCGACAGCAGTGGGGCTCATTTGAGCACACTCATTTTTGAGGTGCATTACTTGAAGAGTAAAACAGACATTAAGGCGTTCAAACTCCTTAAGATGACATTTAACTCCTGCTCTGAAAAAGCAGCATGATTTCTCCCACAGTCCCATCTTTCTAGTAACTGCGACTTCATTTTAGCAAGAGTAAGAACATGGTTACTGGGGGTTAAAATTTTGATGTAAATAAGCAGACTAAAAGGTTGCTGCTCATCTGAACTGATTCTACTTGCTAATCACAAGGAGAAACCTCCAGTTGATTTTTTTGAGTCAATTTTTTACTGAGCAAGTGACCGGAGCTTGTGCAAGACGCCCAAGGCCACCAGGAGCACGTGCAAGGCTAAAATGACAGAGCAAGACCTCCTTCTTCCAGAAGCGGCCTAACAGCCTGTTCACCTTCTCTTTTAGAAGGTCTTAAGGCTGTGATTCCGCAAAGTGAAGCCAGACCATCAGTGCCAGCCCTCAGCTCACCCCCAGCCGCACAAGACAGCCCCAGCCTCGCTGTGGCATTTGGCTGACGCGTGGTCATGGTGACACAGGGAGATGATATAACCAGAAACTAACTGCTCACATTGCTGGGTTAGATTTCTGTCAGGCCAGCTTTATGAATTGGCTTACAGTGTCACCACACAGCTGCCAGTGCTACTGCAGAAGACGACAAGGCACACAGATAGAAATGGATCACGGCAGGACTGTGGCCTCCCTGATATACTAGATGGAAAATCCTGTCTTCTTAATGGAGTTAACACCAGTTACCTGTGAAAGCACTGCTTCTGTATGTCTTTGAAATAGTCCTTATTGACAGTGGCATATGGATCATGAAGTAGCACGCTGCTGTCGATCAGTTTGTCATTCCAAGCCTGAGGCCATGGCTCTTGGTTCTCCTCAATAGCCTGAGAAATTCCTTTGTCATGAGGGGAAATTATCTGAGCGCCGTTTTCCCAGTACACCTAAATAATAAATAGGGTAAGAGAGTATTTTTGTCATCAATATCGTAGGTCAGCTTTGTTATTTTTTTGTGGGCTAACGTGCACTACATTTGGTAGAGCATTACAGTAAATTAGGCCTAAGTACACCCTGAGTATTCGCCTGTTCATATTCTCAGTGTTTGCTCCCACATCACATTTTTGTTCTATAAGAAAAGATGTTTAATTTAAGAGGATATCAAAATCCACAATGAAACACCAAACAAGACCAATCTCCTTTACTGAGAAGATTCAAGCATCAGCCTGTCTGCCAGCCTTGGGACTGGCGACTTGCCCGTGGTATTTTACATACCTTCTTCCAAATTTTTAGGTAAACATGATAGGAACTATACACAATACTATTTGGGTCTCTACATGGAAAAAAGTTTCAAAAAAAACCCCAAAAATAGACCATACAGGAATACCTTGTAGCCATTATCTTGTTTTGGATTGTGGGAAGCCGTTACCATAATTCCAGCACAAAGCTTCAGATGAGTTACTGTGTAAGGCTGTAACGAGAGAAAGTTATCCGAAGTGGAATGTGAAGAATATTATGTTATTTATTCTCAAGCATATGAAATAATTCCGTACTGCTGAATGAAAAGAAAGAGTCAGTCTGTAGGAATCACATCCTGGCTAAAGCAGCAGCTGAGTAGTACCTGCTCCACTAGACCCCACGTGCCACAACTTTAGCCCTTGCTTTTTCTTATGCATTTTCCCACTTAGATATTTTCAGTGCTGCCCAGGTACCTTGTGGCTCTCTAGAGCAGTGTTTTTATGGAAAGGAACTGAGTGCACGGATCACCTACTGCAGAATGACTTCAGATACCCTAGGCCTTTAGGGGTGCAAACTCTGTTGGAGTAATGCCCAAAGTCTGCAAAGGGTAAAGAATTACAAGTGAAGTAGTCTCATCCATACAGTCTTGGGAGCACTACCCATGCAGCCACTACTCCATCGTGGTTCAGAAGAGAATTGTTTTGGTGAGAGCTCTTCTAGATTAGTCCAAACCAGATGGAGTGAATTAAAAATAAAGCATTAGTTCTGACCAGAGGTCCAGTTCGGGTTTACTTCTGGCTCTCTAATAGCGAATACCATCAACCACAGTTCTTGCAGCGCTGCTTTAAGATGCGCTACGAAGAATTTTACCCAAAATGCACTAAAATTTGTGTCAGTACAAGAATGCTACATACAAAGTTCTCCATCCCGCCGTGTTCGTGTTCTGTTTGCAGCACTCACTGGAGCAACTGGTGCTGGGACAGTCTGTTACTTTTAGAGCACAGGTGGAGTGTTCTTTGTTGCTCTAGGACTGACACCTAGCGATCCTACGGTGAACATGCAGGCACGTTCAACAACAAAAAAGCTACTTTGGATCCAATAACCCCAAAAGAAAAAGAAAATAAAGAAAAAAAACCCAACCAATAAAAAACAACATTAAAAAGCCAATTACACCACCAAACGTGTATGTTTCAGACTTCAGAGGAATCTAGAAACGATGAGGCATCTTCTGTGAGAAGTCTGCCCAAAAGCAGGAAGGAATAGAAACACACCCCACTGTCGCTGATACTCTACTCAGCTTCTTCCTTCTCTTGCTATGGATGTTGGAAACTAAATACACCTAAATAAGCACAAGAATTAACTTTTTAAGCTCCACCTGCAGTTGAAGTGGTTTGTCTAGTTTTCCTTAATGTAAGATGCAAGATATCTGACAGAATTTGTGTGCATAAAAAGAAATAATAGAGGAACCTACCACAAAGGGAGTTGGTGTTATATCAGAGAACAGATAAACTGGAACTCCTTGACTGATGAAGGTATTAGCAGCAAGTCTTGCAAACCTAAACAGGAAGAAAAGATGTTCAGGAAATGAATGTATTTCCTAGGCAATTGGTTTCCTGGAATTCACAGCTTTTTCCCACCCTCACTCCAATTTAAAAACCAAACTCACACCTCTCACATAAATAAACCCCAATTATACAAACCCAATTTAAATGTCTTCACTTACTGTCCCTAATAGGCACAGCATAACTCTAAGAACTGGTATCAACAGAACATAAAAATAATATAAATCCCTCACCTTAATTTACTCTACAGAAAGAGAAAATACTGCTGAAGCAGCTTTAAAGCCATAACGGATCACAAAAGACATCTCCCAAACACTTAGAAGTACCTTTTGCTACTACCTCCACTGGAAAGATGGGCACGAGCATCAAAACCAATCACCACTCCTCTCTTTTTCAGGTCACTGAAATTCTTCTCAAGGTATCTGCAAAATCCCTGAAGAAAACAACATTAACCCTCACTAACCCAACCTTAATATTTAATTTAGCAACCATTTTAATGCAACGATAAAACGTTGACATCTTAGAAAGGTGGGTGCACACAACATCTCACTGAACTGGGTTGGGATTCAGTTTGTCTAGGACCAATAAACACCAAGAAATATCAGAAACCTTGAAATTAAGAGAGTGAAGCTGGGCAGTGTTTAAGTACTTTTCCAAAAATCAGAACCAACTCCAGAAGGAAACAGTTAACACAATTAGTCTGGATCGTAGATTTTGATAGCTGTGTTTTGATTTAGCTGTGTTAGGTCTTGGATGAGGGAGAGAACAACTGGTCAGTATTTCATTTTTTTTTAACACAAATCTCTGTTTTTGAACTGAATCTCACCCTTAATAATGACATCTATTCAGGACATGATACACCACCACGCCAGGCTGCAGTAATTTAAGGTTTTGGCTATTTTTTAAGCTCTCCCCAAGCAGATCTACTTTAGGACCTATATGCATGCACAGAACTTCACAGCATTTATGTAAATTTATGTCCAACATACAGCTTAGCAAATGTTGGCTGCCTTTGGGTGGGGTTTGCAGTTGTTATAACATCAGAGCTAATTGATGCCCTTGAGCTTAACTGTAGCTGCGTGTAAATTCACTTGCAAATCAAATACGGAAAAGACTTTATTTTAATGGCTTAATAGGTTCTCTCTGCTTGTTTCCAGAAAGCAGCACTCAGCTAATACTTCTTTAAATTACTTCTGAAAAATGGAGGAATAGTGAAAATCTTGCACTTCCATAGCCGTTTGCTTGTCCCAAATGCGGCTCTTCCAATCATATATATAACAAGTTAAGCGAGATAAGTGCTGGAGACAGTACCTGGGTTGTCTGGATAATAGTCAAGTCATTCATGTGGGAAATCCCTGCTCCCATGGCAGCTCTGAGCCCTGCTGTGCCAAATTCCATCCGCGAGCCAAAGTATTTCTGCAGTTCTCCGGCATTTCCTTCAGCGACCAGTTGCTTCACTATTGCAGAAGTTTTTGGATTCTGTAGATACAAAATTCAAATATTCTAGAAAATGTTTTGTTTGGTTTAAATACCCTCAGACTTCTTAAGCAAACTGACTTGCATTCCCACTCTCTGTACTGGGTTATTTCGGTATCAAAACACCGCATCTCACCTAAGGAAAACCAGAACTCCTCCTACAGCTTCCTAATTTTAAGTCAATACAATCTCAAGTATTACGTATATTAATCTCCTTAAGTGAACACGCTGCCTTGACAACAGTGTGTGTGTGTGTGTGTATATATATATATATATCTCACATTTTGGGAAGTGAAAAGATTCCCAAGGTGTCAATTTTAATATTAACTGGTTTTAAAAACAAAACAAATTTAAAAAGGACCTTTACAGTTCAGAGAATTTTTGTCATCACAACAAAAGAACTACTCTAAACATACAAAAAAGTAAGTTTTCTTTTTAAGGATTAAGAAAAATCACAACCTTGTCCCAAGACTGGCTTACAGCAGAGGCAGGAGCAAAACTAAGCAGACTGGCTGGAAGACAAAGATGACAGTTTGCTATAGATTTGCAGGTAATGCTTGTAAGAATAAGCACTACCCCCAGGAGGAAAGCTTAGCAACGACAGCTGAATTCTTAAATACAATGACAGTGCAGAGTGGCGACAGAAAGGCTGCGTCAGACCGCCTGCCAACAGCCAGGAGTTTCTGCGCCTCACTGCTTTTCTTGGTATACGGCTGGTATCAACTCTTTGTTATCACAGAATCATGGAATGGTTTGGGCGGGAAGGGCCCTTAAAGACCATCTAGTTCCACCCCCCCTGCCATGGGCAGGGACCCCTTCCACTAGACCAGGTTGCTCAAAGCCTCATCCAGCCTGGCCTTGGACACTTCCAGGGATGGGGCATCCACAGCTTCTCTGGGCAACCTGTGCCAGTGCTTCACCACATTCTCCGGGAAGAACTTCTTCCTGATATCCAATCTAAACCTCCCCCCTTTCAATTTAAACCCCTTACCCCTTGTCCTGTCACGACAGGGCCTTGTAAAAAGTCCCCCCCAGCTTCCTTGTAGCCCCTTCAGGTACTGGAAGGTGCAATAAGGTCTCCCCAGAGTCTTCTCTTCTCCAGACTGAACAAGCCCAACTCTCTCAGCCTGTCCCCATAGGAAAGGTGTATTGTTATCAACACTTTGTTTCCAAACTGAGGGATTAGTGAAGTCCTGTATGCCCCAACACCTCCATCGTAACACCATGGCATTTGTGTAGTATTTGATTTGTTGAAAACCGATGAGCCGAGAGGACAGATGGCCCACTCCAGCCTCCCGGCAACAGGGTGATGTGGAGAGGCGGCATCCTCCGCAGGTTACTCACTGCATGATTACACACAATTTACACCGGAGCACAAAGATTATAATTTCCCAATGGACACGAGCTTTGATTTCTAGTCAACCAAATGACCTCATAAAAGTCACAGGCTTCACTGTTTCTTGGATGGCCTAGGTATGCTTACAGCAAGAGAAGGCTTATCGTCCTAGGCAAAAAAATACGTGTTTTGTGCAGCTGCAGAAAATACCATGGAACAGGTACAGCAGTAGGCACACGAGTGAGCTTGCATCCAAAGGTAGAAGCATTCTATACACCAAACTGAGACCAGGGTCTGGATGCCCTAACCACTGACCTGTGCGCCCGCTGCTGCAGCATAAATGCCAGTTTAAGAAGATACTCAAAAAGCTTAGCACCAAAGGTGCTTTATGAGCAAACTATATAATGCAGAATAAGCTAAATAAGAAAAAAAAAAAAACCCAAACACCAAATCAAAAGTAAACAACAAAACAGGTTTCCTGGGTGCCAAACCAAAAGCAAACAACAAAACAGGTTTCCTGGGTGCAATAAGCAGTTAGGTACCCCAGAATTACTGATTTGTAGGTTAAGAATTTCCAATTTACCGGTCTAAGAATGTTGTAACTGACACTTCCTTGTATGAGGCTCAATATTATTATAATGATATTCTATAATTATAAGAATAAATATACTTCTGTGTTATTATAGAGTAATATAGGTCAGCATAACTATTCAGAGTTTAGGCTGCTGAAAAGCTGAACTTCTTGCTGAAGTGCTGGTTTTTCCCTTCCTTGCTGGTTTTCTCAAGTCACACTTTTCCGCTCTCAAATAGAGCCGAATGTGATTTCTGTGAGTACAGGGGCAGGTGATTCAACACACTTAAGATCCAGTAGTGCCATTTGCTTAAATATCACCTGGTAACACCTGAGTTTCTTAATTTAATCCACACTACAGGAAGGTCCCAAAGAGGTTTCATCAGAGCAAGAAGGTCTTTGAGGGACAGCTACTGACTAAACAGCTTCAATTTTTAACTGAAAGAGAAGCTACCTTCTGTAATTTTATGATTGATAATAGAAAGGATGAAAAATAAGATACAACTGCAATGAATTCAGTGATGAAAACAGCCTGGTAAGAAGCTCATTAATTTTCATCTAGTAGAAACTTCCTGTTAAGCCAGCAGGATTGTCTTCAGCCATAAGGGCTCGCTCTTACAAACTTATTTTTTTAAGAAACATGCAGCTTATCACTATTAAACATTAACCTATCCCTACACATCAGAAGGGAACCGTGTTTTTTTTTAATATCAGAGTAAATGGACAAGGGTTATATCGGATTCTTCTGTTACTCAATACAAACACACGTAAGAGCCCCCTGAGAAATGAGAGTACCTCATCATTTTTGAGCAATCAGCAAACGGGTATTGCACACCGGTCAATTATGACTAATCAAAGACGCGGTTGTTAGCAACAAGCTAACCTTTCAAAAGTAAAGATACTACAAGGGATGCTGCTTTAGATTTCCAGAGGGTTTCATACAACAGTCGGAATAACCGGTTGAAAATGAAATGATTACGCAGGAGACAGGAGTATAACTAAGGTTAGTCAAGGAAGTTACAGAAATAAGAGGCCCTTGAAAACCAGACTGTTTTCTCAAAATCAATTAAACTGGGGAAAAAAAAACCCCAAAGACACAAAAGCTTTTCGTCATGTCATGTGATACACTAGGATTTCTGCAAGAAGGGCTGGTTGGCAATGCATGATCACTAACAAAGACAGAGCTGGCTACCTGATCAGTTAACCAGTTGAATTCTCTTCAGTGAAGAACCACAACAAACCTGAAGTAATGATGTCCTGTAGAACTGGGAAATAATAGTAAGTGTTTGTTTTCTTTGACAATCTTCAAATAAGCAGCAGATCCCCTTACCAAGAAGATATGTAGGTTTCCCAAAACCTACGACGCAGAGCGCAGGGGCAGCCGTTACAGCCGCCGAAGGGGTGCAATGGCCACTGCGTTCCCGTACAGCCAAACAAGCAAATCCCACGTAGCGGGACAAAAAGAACCGGCAACCCACATATTCCGAATGCGGGCCTGCACCCCAGCGGGAACTGCAGCAGCCAGCAGCTACGTAAGCGCTTCCAGAACAACCCTACAGCACGGCGTTTCTTCGGACACACGGAATACAGAAGCACACGGAAGATTTGACTTCTGCGCGTCGCGCTGGCAAGACCAAACCTGAGGGCACAAAGGTTTTAGCACCCAAACAGGAAGGGAAATAACGCGCGCTATAGTGTTCCCGAGCAATAGCAGGGAAAGGGAGAAAACCCACGAGACCAGACAATAAAGATTCAAGCGTTAGTAGCAGGGAGGGTCACTAGGCACCGGGGGATGCTAGCAGCAAGCAGGGCGGATTCTGCAATTCCTGACATTTTTCCAAAAGCCCACGTCTTCTGGAAACTGTTTCAGTCAACACAAGCGCGTGGAGGTTTTTAACACGGAGACAGGCGACGCAGCAACTGGCCTTGAACAACTGAAGCCCCTCAGCGGCGCTGCACCGGGCGGCTGAAGAGCGCAGGCCGCGGGGCATTCCGCACAGCCGAGCGCCCCTCACGGCACCT